ATGGCGTACAGCGCGTGTTTCCTACACCAGAGCGCACTTGCTTCCTCCGCCGCACGATCATCATCTTCCTCCTCATCTCAACGCTACGTGTCACTCTCCAAACCCGTCCAGATTGTGTGTAAAGCTCAACAGCCTCATGAAGACGATAACTCCGCCGTCTCTCGCCGTCTTGCTCTCACACTCCTCGTCGGCGCCGCCGCTGTTGGTTCCAAAGTGTCTCCCGCCGACGCTGCATACGGTGAAGCTGGTGCGCAAAATAACCTTTAGATCTTCATTTTCAGATCAAATTTGTATCACAAAATCCAAGGATAAAGAATCTTTTTTTTATTCTTCTTCTTGGTTTGCAGCAAATGTGTTTGGGAAGCCAAAGACCAACACAGACTTCACTCCATACACTGGAGATGGATTCAAAGTGCAGGTACCAGCAAAATGGAACCCAAGCAGAGAGATTGAGTATCCAGGACAAGTCCTTAGGTACGAAGACAACTTCGATGCAACTAGCAATCTCAATGTTATGGTCACTCCTACCGACAAGAAGTCCATCACTGATTACGGTTCCCCCGAAGAGTTCCTCTCTCAGGTCTCTACTCCATAACATCTATAGAGATGAATCAAAGAAATCAAATGAATTGTGATACTGAAATGATGATTTCAAATTTTTTCGTGTCTACAGGTCAATTATCTCCTAGGGAAACAAGCTTACTTCGGTGAGACCGCCTCTGAGGTAAGCTTCTCATTTCCATTTGTTAGATGAAAACCTGATGCTGAGAGAATAGGATGTGAGAATTAAATACCCAAGAGAGTAGGATATGATAATTTAACATAGCTTAAATACAGTATCACCATTGTTACCTTATGTGCATTTGATCGGATTATTGAGTACATGATTGTGTGTGTGTGAATCCAATGTTCCTTGCAGGGAGGCTTTGACAACAATGCAGTGGCAACAGCGAACATTCTTGAGTCATCAGTTCAGGACGTTGGTGGGAAACCGTACTATTACTTGTCGGTGTTGACAAGAACGGCCGATGGAGATGAAGGTGGGAAGCACCAGCTGATCACAGCAACTGTGAATGGAGGGAAGCTTTATATCTGCAAAGCACAAGCTGGAGACAAGAGGTGGTTCAAGGGAACCAATAAATTTGTCGAGAAAGCAGCTAGTTCTTTCAGTGTTGCTTGAATGAAACAGAACAATGCTCTGCTTGCTTTCTTCATTTGTCTCTTGTAAAAAAAGGAAAATGAAACTGAGCTTTTGAGAACTATCAAGATGATGTTACCTTTTCGGTTTCGCTTGTGTACTGTGATAACAGGCTCTCGTTTTCCATGCCTGATTAGAAACCTTATATTTCCGGTAGATCTTTGCTCATTTGGTTATTGATTGCTCAAATAAAGGCATGACTCAGATAAAAAGCTATAGATTATTTCTAATCGTTGAAAACTTGAAGACATTGAAGAAAGCATGTTTGAAGATGATATCACTAGAGGTACGAATGAAATGGTATCCTAGTTCAACAGTGAGGTTAAGATGCAGAAGAATAGAGACGTCTCACTGTAACTAGAGATCTCATAAATGAAGTCTCGATTTCCACCATTTTAATGATTTGTTTGGCAACTGAGAGAATCACCAAGAAGCAAAGAGATTTTATTTATATATGTATTACAGCCCTTCACCATCATCTATGTGCCACTTTTAATTCATTAACTTTTGAGCTTTACTAAAGCTACAAACAGAGTGTTTAGGAGTTCAGAGATACTCAACAGGGAAACCGACGACAGGGTTTATCTCAGAGGCCATGGATCGTAGCTCACTCACTTCATCGTCTGTCAGACTCCAACCTATCGCTCCCGCAAACTCTTTGGCTTGTTCTGCATTTTTGGCTCCTGGGATCGGTATTACATTCCCTTGTGCCACCAACCAGTTCAATGCTACCTGCACAACACAACCAAAAAAAGAAGAAGCATATATTTGACGTTAATTGAGGGATTCACTCTTATGGTATACTCAATTTCTAACTGAGCCTTGCTCTGCGATATAAACAAGTGCTGTAGAAACATTTAGTTTCACATGATTGACAAGAAGTAACAAAACAGTGAAACTAAACATGGACCATGGATCATACCATTACTCTTGTTTATTTTCTCTGTAATTTATGCACTTCAACGTTGAACAAGAAAAAAAAATAGAGTGCATAAGGAAAAGAGAAACAACCTGTGTGGGAGTTTTGCTGTAGTTCTCGCCTATTTTTTTGATTCTATTCAGCAGGGGTTGAAGCTGTAGTCACAAGTTATAATTAGTGAAGAAACCTCGCAGGATTATGCTACCTTTTGATAATTTATGCATAGGTACACTGATTGGTGTGTGTGTGTTGTACATGTATGCATTTTCTCAAAACAGCAGTAAAGGCAGGATTAGAGGGGAAAATCAGCAGGTTAATAACAGTGTGATGTACAGTATAAGTATAGTTTTGCAGACATATAGGCCTGTGTTTAAGACATCCAGTCGAAGCTATTACCTTTGTTAAAAACTCACGAGTATAAATGCGACCTCGAGGACCAGATGGTGGGTTCTCTGGGGTGTATTTACCAGTTAGAGCACCTGGAAAAAAACAAAAAGAGAATAATAGAAAAACGTTGATGTAAGATCCTTAAGATTTTTTCCCAGAGAATGATGGACATGACCACAAATCAAAGGTAGGTAAATCACCCTGAGCAATGGGGGAATATGCAATCAAAGTGACTCCCAGCTCATCACAGGCAGCCTTAACACCAGTCTGCTCTGGAGCTCTGTATATCAGACTGTAGTTGACTTGATTTGAGGCTAGAGGAATTCCCCTCTTTTTGAGTCTCTCATAAGCAGACCGTAGTCGCTTCTCTGAAAAGTGCGACCCAATACAGTGAGTATGATAAATTTGAATGTTCAATAAGCTAACATTAGATGTACGTATGAAGTTATCGAAACTATTACTCTTTCTAGTTACTTTTTTTTTCTTAAACAATGGATAAGATCTTAGTAACAAGGAAAAGTTTTCACATCCTGATTCCAAGTATCTTTTTCTTTCAACTGCCAACCTTTAGTGAGAAAGAAAATACAGATTGAAACTAATACCGCTGTAGTTAGAAACACCGACAGCCTTCACAAGTCCTTGTTCAACAGCATCCCCAAGACCATCGAGATATCCTAAAATATAATTCACAGTGACAATGGATTTGATATCATTACCAAAATGACAAAGTAGCTTCAATGTGCTCTTAAGAAAAAACCTTCATTTCCCCATAGTCCAGGCCTGAAATTTAACCAAGCAAATAGTGAGATTGTTCCCTTAACAGTGTTTACTCCAACACGAATTAGGAACACATACCAATGGAGTTGATAGAGATCGACAGACGAAAGCCCTAGCCGGCCAAGGGAATCTTTAAGGGCGGTGATAACACTTTCACGACCCAATCGCCATGGCAATGCAGCAAATTTTGTTGCAACTGAAATCTCAGCTCCAGGATCTCTCTCTTTTCTCTCACTGATGAATCTGCTCAAAATATCACCAATGACAGTCAAGTGGAATATCTACGAGGAATCGGGGCACACTGCTACATGTTTCCTATAGACAGTAAAAATGTACCTTCCTAGAAGAGATTCAGAGCTTATAGCACCCAGGGAAAACTACAGAAGATGGAAACAATAATGTGAGTATTTTCAAAACAAACTTAACAAAGAGTAATCAGCTTTTCTCAAATCTTACCTTGGAACCATAAACTTCTGCAGTATCGAAAAAATCTATACCATTGTCAAGACTGACATCGAAAGCACCTTTGGCAGCCTTCAATTTCCTGTCTACCATCACAGTAAGAAACCAAAAAAACACAAATCTTTATTCATTTCAATACTCTTTGACGCATGAAAGCGGAATTTGACAAGAGCAATTCAAGCATAGTTCTTAAGCTTTGCGCGAAATAGAAATTGATTCTATTGGAATGTTGGAGAAAAGGGAAATTGCACTGACCATCCCACTGGAAGTCATTCCAGTAACTATTATCACCCCATGACCAGACTCCGATCCCAAGCTTCGTCACTTTCAAATCAGACCCACCCAATTTCACTTTTTCCGATGTCGCCGGAGCCACCGAATCGCCGGAAGCTACAGCTCTAACAAGATTCCGAACGAATCTTCCTCTTCCCCGAGAACCTTCCGAAACAGGAAAGGAGAAGTGTGTAGCCATGGCCATGGCGTTTTTTTCCTTCTTCTTCGATAATTTTTCTTTCTTTAAGAGTTTTGAAATTGGAAGAGGAGAAGAAGAAGAGGTTGTACATTGCGAGAAGTGAGAGACCATGCGATTGCCACGTAGGATGCTGGCGCGCCGAACAAATAAAAAACAAATTTAAACCGCTATTTTTCGTAAAAATGGCGTTTGTCAGCGACGCGTTTTGAAACTCAAAAATAAAACACAAAATCAAATTTATCATGAAGGTAACAACATAAATTTTTGAAGTTTATCATTCAAACAGACTTGTCTGAGGTAGGTAGATAGATAGAAATAAGAGGAACCATACTAAACCACAAGGCAAATATTTAGTCCTTTCTCTCTCACCAAACAGCAACAATAATCTTTTCCATATAATCTCTCTTCTAGCACAACAAAACTGTGTGCAAAATCAATCAGAAAATGAAACATAAAACCAATCTCATTCATGTATATGGTAATGGTACTGAGTAGATTCTGACGGTTGCAATCAAAGAAGTAAAGTTTCAAGATTCTGCTGCAGGAGCTGGAGCTGGAGGTTTGAGGAGCGGCTGTAGCGCCTTCACAACTATGCTCATGTTCGGTCTGAACTCAGATTCGTATTGCACGCACAATGCTGCCACTGCTGCTAGCTGCATTGCCACATAACCAGGATATAAATTGATTATTTGTTATCTTTTGAATACTTATTATATCTGTGATCAATTGCAATATTTTAGAGGTTTGTTCATGGCATGAAAAGAGAGGTACCTTAGCAACTGCTTTTGGAGGGTAATCAGTTTTTAGCTTCGGATCGATGCACTGTTTGACTTTATCTTCACTGAGTCTTGGTGTCGCCTGAGCAGAGCCAATAACATTGAATTGTAAGACAGGAAAACAGATTAGAAAAAAGTACGGTCTAGATTTGAGTCAGTGTGTATACTCACCCAGGTTACAAGACTTTGTTGACCCCGAGGCATGGTATGATCCACCGGTTTCCTTCCTGTCAGAAGCTCTAAAAGTACAACCCCGAAGCTGTACACATCACTCTTCTGAGTCAACTGTCCAGTCATTGCATATCTGCATATGGGGGCGTTAACATATTAGCTGTGCTTATAAGACATCCATACGCACACAAACAATTGAGGGATAAAGAAACATTACTCTGGAGCATGATAACCAAAAGTTCCCAAGACTCTTGTTGAGTGAAGACGAGCAGCATTATCAGGTGCTTGATTTGAGAGATTGAAATCAGCAATCTTTGCTTTGAAGTCTTCAAAAAGAAGAACATTGCTAGATCTTATGTCTCTATGGATTACAGGAGGCTGAGACTTCTCATGAAGGTATTCCAAACCCCTAGCTGCCTCAACCGCTATCTTCACCCTCGTTATCCAGTCAAGTGTTGGACCTGGCTGTGCCCCTTGAACTCCCTTCCTACCTGTAATCGCACAATATGCAACCAGTTACATGGATAGATTTTGTTTCTCACAAATACGTTTGGTCAAACCAGGGAATTTATTTAGCAAGAGAATTGAATGGAGAATCTCGAAGTCCAAGAAGCTTATCTTACCATGCAAGATGTCATGCAACGACCCCATTGTTGCAAACTCATATGCAAGGATGCGAAGGTTTCCATCAACACAAAACCCGAGCAATTGAATGAGATTCTCATGCTTCAGTCTAGAAACCATGGAAACCTAATGAAAGCAAACTATTAATATGACAAGTTGAAAGAGGATGCAAACACAAGCTTCCTGTAAAAAATGCATGGATACTGGTACTCATCTCATCTCATTACAAAGAAAGTAGATTAAGAGGGAAGAAAAGGGTTTGAAGAAGATTGATAACCTGACTCAAGAATTCGGTATCTGATTCAGCTTCAGGTGCGACATCAAGTTTCTTCAGCGCAACCGCTACACCATCATTTAGTGTCGCATAATATACCCTCCCATAAGATCCTTCACCAATCAGTGCCTTTGATCCAAAATTTTCAGTCTTTTCCTTCACCTCATCTAAAGACAAGGGAGGAACCTCGATGGGAAGAGCTTCCTTCTGCACCTCATGTTTTGCAACAGGTGCTGGTTTTGGATTCTTATGATTTGCTACAAACAAAAAAACCAACTTGTCAGATACACAATACGAAGTCATTAAATGTTCGAAAAGTTTGAACCCAATGTCAACTCATTTCCCTCAGTTGGAAAATATTATAACTGCTATACAAAGTGTGGGCATGGAAGCCTCTAGTACGTGAACACTACCATTACAATCCCTCAAAGATTACTGTAACCATGCGTAATTAGAAAACTGAAGCTACTAGGTGGCATCGAGATAACATACCATCAGATTGCTGCTGCGAACTTTTCAGTTGTTGCTCTTCATTTGAGTCTTCTATTTGACATGTACAACAGATCCACTTGCGCATCCTTATTTACTTCTTCAACAATAGATCGCCCACAACCTTTGGCTCCTGAAACAGATTAAGTAAGTGAATAAGAATGCAAAGGAAATAGAATAAGATGTACGAGCCAAAAGTTATTTTCCAGCAGCCCGTAACCCAATAAATCCCTAACAGAAACATATACACCCACACACAAATAAGTAGGATAAGTTTTAAAACATGCAGCTTTCATGACAGTGGTAATGGGGTTTTGAACACCCACACCAGGAGGTAAGAGTCAACCTACTGCGAACCGAGGGAAATAAACAAAGCAGAATGGTTAAACTTGATTTGAAATCTCCGAAGTTTCAACAAGTTGAAAAGAAACAGAGAGAAATGCTAACGGTTATGACATCGTCATTTCCTAACAAAAGATATGTTTTAATACACAAACTTCAATCCACGTCTGCAAGTATTTACTTTAATCACTTGAAACCAGATTTCTTCCAACACTGACCGAGAGAAGGATAAATTATTCATAGAACATTGCTTCACTCTCATGAATGAACATTTTGACAACCAAAATTTATACACCAAAGCTTAAAATCTGATATAAAGTGATATCTCAGCTCCACAGTTAAAAGGTTGGAGATATTAAGAACCATCTAACAGATGAATATACAAAAGATTCATATGATAAGTCTTCATAAGAGACCCGGAAAACAATAAACTGGAGATAAAATTTACAACTTGATGGCAATTTGAATGAACACATTCTCTGGGAAGAGAACACAATTCCAAGTTAATCAAATCAGAATCATCAATCAAGAAAAGACACATGATCCAACACATCCGCTACAAATACTAATAGCCAGACCATGGATCCTACATG